TTTTTCATGTTGAAAAATCGAAAAAGTTATATTTACATTACTATATTTTCATGATGTTAGAGTCACATATCCTGTTGATTGAATAAACTTATTTAATAACTAGACATTGGAATCATCAAGGTATTGCATAATTTATTTCTAAATACAGTTACGTTAACAGCAAAACAAAAACTTTCCAAATACAATTCAAGAAAAAGAAATATCTGCTTAAAAATCTATCAAAAATAATAATATATTTCTATTTGAATGTTTTCATTTTCACGTATTCTTCATATTTTCATAGAAAATCTTGTCATTTTTCCGTTATTAGAAGATGAGGAAAAAAACTTCCCTGCAATATGAATTATGAGTCTTTCTGTTTAATAAGAACTAGAGACACAAAAATCTCGGATACTATTCATCTAGTTACAACAGATTCTATGTCTAATGTTGACGGTTTTTTTATTTATAATCAAGAAGAAAAGATATTTTTCTGTGAGATCCTAATACTTTTGGATCGATCTTTCGATAGATGAATCGTGATCATTCAGAAAACGAGCAAAAGAATAATTAATATAAGAGAATAACCGCAAGTAGATGTCAAAGATAGAGCAATTTGACGCCAATGAGGATCATCAATGATCGAGTAAATATTCATTTGATCTATAATTTTCTAATAAATAACATGTCCTAATTTACTTGCAAAAGACAGATTTACTTCAGATAGTTATTGTTGAGAAATCTTAATCATTAACTAGAACATGTTGGATTGATTGTGGATTCAGACCTGATTGAGTCTGAAAATTTTGGATTCGACAAACTCTACCTTTGACTTTCTCAATTAATATAAATATATTTAAAATTTCTTTCATATATATATAAATCATTTAAGTAACGAGAAAAAAGAATCTTGGATTAAGTCAAGTCTATTCCATGCGTATCTGTATTTTACTTTTTCGTTATTATTAATAAACTTCTATTTCTTTATTTAAGATGCTTCTATAATCTTTGAATGATTTCTTTTAAGAGTAAATATTACTGCTAATAAAGAATAATATATCAGTAGTCGTGTATTCTTTAACAATGATTAGATAGAGTTTATTAATAGAAAAAAATGATAAAACACGAGAATAATAAATCATACGGTACATTGTTTTTTAGTCGCATGTCTTTAGTATTCTTTTGGAATTTGGATATTGAAACACAAGTTCACGTTACATTTAATATCTATATTTTTTTATTTTTGTCAATAGATAATGTTTTCGATGTACCGTTTTTTCCTTTTTCTTATCTGTCAATTAAAAAAAAACAAAATACATATTTCATTCATGCTTTTTATAGTAACAGATCAAAAAAAGAGATGCATAAAAGTTTGTTTTGTTTTGTTTTTCTATTAAAAGTAGAAAGTTACGTTTAATAATAAACATGTAAGTTATTCATTTTCATATTCAATGAATCATAATCAGAATATATTTATTATCTATTCAAAGAATCATTCGACTACATTAAAGTGTACTTGTTGTTCTTTTTCTATTGTTCACATTGATGCACACGTGTTTTTCATCGCAAACAAAAAAAAAACAAGAGAATAATAGATGTTAACGTGAGAGAATGTTTGATAAGAAGTATGAATATCATGAGAAGATTGGTGAATCCACTATAAAATAGATAACGAAGATAGACAAGTATATAAGAAGGTGAATATTACATTGATATATTCATTTTTCTTAAACATAAAGTAAGAAGTATATTCGCATAGATCACAATTTTTTATCCTGATTGACCTCTCTTTCGGTTGGCTAAAGCAAAGTTATTGATTTTTTTTTCAGATTATTCATTTGTCTTTTTTCTTTTTATTAAATTCAATATTACAAATAAAATGCCAACTGTTGGACGTGAAGCAACTGCAACTACAGGTTCAGCTGTAGCTCATACAGCTGTTTCTGAAAATGTCTCTGTCAAGTCAGTTGTTAGTACTGAAACACAATCAAAAGTTAACATGGAAAATACTCAAAAAATGTCTGCTTTAATGGGCAAACTTGGTAAGATTATTTAATGCTATTTTTCTTGTTCAATCATTTTTATTTATTTATTCCTAAGGTACAACTCATCAACAAGTAGACGAATATGCTCGTCGTCGTACCGAACAAATTTCTGAAGGAGTTGCAGCAACTATTAATCAAATTGTTGCTGATACTCAAAATCAACAAGCAACTCTTTTAGCTGATGCAAATGTTCGTTCAGCTGCTATTGAAGAAGAATATAAACATAAATTACAACAATGTGTTCAAGAACTTGATGCAGTTAAAGCACAAAATTTATCAACACTTGAAAAAGATTTAAATTTCCGTCAAGAAATGATTCTTGAATCAGCTAAAAAACGTATTGATGATTTAAATGAAGAAGGAAATCGTTTGAAATTAGGTGTTTTACGTGAAGCTCAAGCACAAACTAATGCTAAAATCGAAGCTATTACTGAACAAGTCGCTCAGTAAGTTATTTAAATACAAAAAAAAGTATTTCATAGAAAAATGATTTGAAAATGTTTAGGTTGGGTGCTGAAGATGCTAGTCATCTTTTAACATCATCATCTACAACAGTCATTACAACTGAAGCTAAAGCTACTGGTGAAACTCATGTTGCTGGTACAGCAGCTACTGCAAATACTACAGCTACAACTGTGGAAAAATCATCAGCTTCACACTCATCGAGTTCAGCTACAACAAAACATTAAATAATTATTTATAATAATCGCATTTTCTTTTTTGTATTAATTCAAGCTTTTTTTTTCTTTATTAACGGGCTTTGTTTATTGTTATTCTTTATTATTGATACTGAATAAATAATGAATGGTGTAAAAAAAAATTCACAAATGACATATAGTTTATAGAGATATATTTATATCGATTTCTTCTGTATGGGAAGTTCTTCAGTTTGCACTAACAGTTGTTGTTTTTTGTAATAATGAAAATTTTTTTTTTCATGTAAAAATTTGCCTTCATTTTAGCACGTGTCTTGATATGTAATGTCAAGCGAGTTATTCTGTAAGCAATGTAAATAAGATAGTGAACGAGAAAAAACTGAATATTTATAGATTTTAGATATTTTCCTTTGTATATTCATTGTAAATTAATCATTTTAAATATCTATTGAAATGAAAGAGAAGTGTAAAATTGACATTGAATTAGTCATTTACTGTGTCAATAGAATAAACTTCGATGTTATTTAATGGAAGTAATTTATTTCAAGGAACATTAATGATCTTATAAATTCTTTAAGAACATTGTGAGGATATTTTCGTTAAATAAGTTTGAAGTTATTATTTTAAATGTTAACTTGTCTATTTCTAATCATTTCAATATTCTTTTTTTCGTAATAATAAGGAAAAAAAGAAGTAAATTTCTAACAAATATTCATACTTTTGTAGTTCTGTTCCATAATAAGAAGGATTTATTATGAATGTCACAGCAGGATGTCTTTATCCTTTAGAGAAAGAAAATAATTTGTTGCACTCTATAACATGGGGCCTCTTTTTTTTCTTTTGAAGCTTTGTTTTTTTTCTTTCTGTTGGAATTTAGAGCCATGCAGGGAGTGCATTTTATTCATCTGTGTTGTGTCAATGCGTCTGAATGTTAAAAAGAAAGTTGATATGTCATTTTTTTATTATTTATCTTTCTTCGAATATGACATAACAGTCATGAAGAAACCTTTTCTAAATATTCTAGGTAAAGAAAGAAATGATTCATAAATTTATGCACAATATACACAATTTGTTTTAATATGACTGAATTGAAAATGAATTAGTAGAAGAGTTTTTGATAAAAATAATATTACATCGATCCTTGATAATTTTGTGAAATATGTTCTATAAAAATCACAAAAATCTTATACGTTCACAAAATTCAAATGTGAATTTCTTACATTCGCTTTCAATATACGTGATTATAAGAATACAAAAAAAACATCTATGATTTATTTCTCGATCATATTATTTCAGTCATTTTTAATGAATATTTTATTAAGATCGAATTGATCTATAGTATTTAACTCTTCTCAAAGAATTCTCTTAATATTTGAAATTGGAAAAATATCTTTTTTTCAGATAGTGTTACTTATCGATTAAATAAGTCTTAATTAAAAAAAAAACACTCATTTAGAATCGCCATTGGACATGAGTCTCATAATAGAATTATGAGAACAGATCTGCT